GCCTGGCACCTGGAGTCACCCACTAGTGGGCCAGGCTGGGCACCCGGCCAGGCTGGGGGCTCGGGACATGAGAGAAAGGGCAGAGGGGGTGGAGAGAGCCCTGGCCTGGGGGCCCCCGAGCTGCACTCGGGCCCCGACGCCGCCATCCCTCGTGGGGCTCTGGGGAGATTGCTTCTGCCGGAGCCTCGGCTTCCTCATCACCAAACCAGTGCCACGGTGCCTGACTCCAGGAGGACCGTGCAAGGCTGTGCTGGCCTCGCAAGAGAGGAGGCGCCCCTCCGCAGATCGTGCCAGGCACTGGTGACCTCTGAGGCGTGGCAGACCCTGTCTGACCTCGCTGCCAGGGGCCCTGCCTCCGGCTCAGCCTCGCCTCCCAGCGCCAGGCCCAGCCGCCCTGCTCTGGCTGTCCGTCTCTCTACCCTTCCCTGACACCTTCTAACTCCTGCTCACTCTTCAAGACCCGCTTTAGGTGCCTCCTCTCCAGGAAGCCAACCCTGATCACCCCCCCATCCTGACCTGGTGAGGGGCTCCAAGTGTAGGGGGCAGACTGCTGGGTTCAAATCCTGGCTTTGCTACTCCCTGGCTGTGTGACCTTGGGCAAGCCCCTTAACTTCTCTGAGTCCTTACATCCCTGTAACACGGGAATAAATCTCACCATCCTTGTGGGATGCAGTACATATGAGGATGCATGGAAAGAGCTTAGCAAGGGCCTGGCACCAGCCCCGAGCGGTGCCACCTGGTGATGGAGGCCCCAGGATGGATTGGGGAGCCCAGGTGACAGTTCTGGGGAAGATCCTCATGGAGCTGGGTGGAGACCCTGCTCCCTCTTCTGGAGCCTCCAAAAGTCAACAGCCCCAGGGCCAAACCACACATCCAGGAGGGAAGGGTCGGTGCCCAGGTGGCCAGGTCTGTCTGCCCCCATAGCACCAGCAACACAGGGTGGGGGCACTGCCCAGAGCACCCCCTGACCCGTGAGGCCAGCTGGGTCCCACCTGGACTCCATGACATCGGGGTGTGCCTGCAGGGCTGGGCCGGCCATGTGGGGCCTCCATGTCCCTCTCTCCATCCCCCAACCTTCTGGACCCTTAGCAGCCTCGTTGCTGAGAGTTTTGGCCACTCCGAGCTCCCAGCTCCCACAGTCAGGCAGGGTGAGACCACAGGCCTGACCAGGTGTGTACTCACGCCAGGCACAGGTGTCACAGCCCAGTGGAGGCCTGGAGCCTGCCTCATCCCAGGTGGGCCTTTCTGAGGTCTCTGGGCTGGCGTGAACAGGCCTGGCTCCTCCTCTCCCCTGAGGGTCCCTGGGCTACAGCAACACAAGCCCCGATGGCGCAGACTAAGAGCCAGAGAGGGACGTGCCTGCCTGGGTGAGTGGGTGCTCAGGCCTCCTCAGCCCAGCCCAGCCCAGCCCAGCGCCCTCCTGGCACACCTGGGGGCCAAGCTCCACCCTCAGGCCCCTGAGGTCCAGCTGGGGCTCTAAGCAGCTGACTCCCCAGGACCCGATGTGGTCGGCAGTTAGACAGACAGTGGAGCAAGGGTGATGGGCCAGGTACAGAAGGTCATCGGGACAACTGTAGGGTGGGGCCTTGCCCCCAGGATCACCTTCTCCCCTAACATATCGCTTGCCACACGTCCTGTGGTTTGGACCCCTGACTTTTCCTCCCCAGAGATAACGTCTAGGCCTCAGTTGTGTTTCGGCTCCAGGCCCAGAAAAGCAGCAACACCAGACAAACAAAGCCACGGCTGACCTCAGGGCCAGCTGCGTTGGGTAATGACCCTGCCCTGGTGCTGACCCATCAATCAGTGGAGACCTGGACCCTGAAAGACACACCGGGGAAGCTGCTGAATATTCTATTGAGATCTGCCCCTGGCACCTCCCCGAAAATCTCCACCCTTAAAGCACTTAGGATGGAGGACGCAGTGCTCTCCCCCCAGGGAGCACGATCGTGCCTTTCCGTTCGTGTCCCCCCCCCCCCCCCCC